CTCCCGCCTATATTATTGAATGATTGATAAAACATTCGTTTTGCAAACTTCATAGATCTTGACTAACACTTACTTCGCCTATATAATTATTGAATAATTGATAAGTATTCGTTTTGCAAGTTTCATAGATCTTGACTAATACTTACTTCGCCTATATAATATTAAATAATTGACAATAATAAAATGTTGATTAAATATATTTATAAACAGCTTTGTAGATCTCAACTTTAATACTTACTTCAATCAAACCCACCTATATAATTATTGAATAATTGATAACATTCGTTTTGCAAGTTTCATAGATCTTGACTAACACTTGCTTCGATCAAATCTGCCTATATAATTATTGAATAATTGATAGTAATAAAACGTTAAATATATTTTCTCTTTTCTTATATTAAAATAAATAGTTTGCTCTTGGGGAGCTGTGGATTCCACGCAAAATACATATATGAATTTTATGAAAAAAATTAATAGAATTGCAACATTACAAGAAAAAAATGTAACTAGTTTTAATAGTAATTCTCAACTATTTTTATGAATAAATAATGAATTTTATTATTTTAAATTAAAAAAAAACTTATTACGAATTATTCGTTGTTATTAATTCAATCTTGCATGCTGCAGAATAACAAGTTATCTAACTTTGTATAGCATTCGTTACCTGTATGAAAAAAAACCTTGCAAAATGTTAATTATTTTTTAGAAAATTTTGTTCTACCTCCATCCTTTTTCAAATTGTCTATAGAAATTATTTATTAACAAAATTATTTCTTTGAAATAAGTTTTTTTTATTGGGCTAATAAGGAAAAATAAATACAATAGCTAATATATCCAATGGTTGACAGAAGGTCAATATGCTAGATCTTTACTTAACATGGGTAAAAAATTTTCTTCAAAAGTTATCAAAAGCAAAAGCAACTAAACTTCATCCACACACTTCTATTCACGTAACTTTTTACAATATACAGTAATACTTCTTACTATTTAGAAAAGGTTTTTCCAATGCAAGTTGGCAATATAATGTAAATCAAAAGTCTATAATGGTCATTATTAAAAAATAATTTATTATTATATAATAAGTTTGATATCTCAGACCTGCATAACAAATTTCTATCGTTGATCGGCGGACCACCAATTAATAAATTTACTCCGAAAAAACATATTAAAAATTTTACCCCTTTTTAGATATGACCTTTTTTATTTTTACCCACTTTTCATATAACATCAATTATGATTTGGCCTGGGACTATTAAATTGTTATCAAAACAAAAAAATAGTTACACGTATTAGAGGCCTGCATCGGGTTGGGTCAACAGGAGGGAACATCCTATATAAGGAATGGATTTTCACAATTGATTTCAATTTTTTTTATACAGTTTAAAATACTTTTACAAGGGTATTACGTAGCCCATTCTTACAATAAATCATGTGCAAATAATTACACAAATTTGAAGCTTTACACTTTGTTGTTATCATATCTTTTGAATCCCTTTGAATCCCACAACTTTCATAATACGATTTACTCGAAGAAAAAATGTCTGAAATTAAACATTGCACAGAATGTAAAACCATTAAATCAGCTAAATTTCGTCAACTAAAAGGCAATAAATGGAAAGAAGCTGAGAACAACGACTTAGTAAAGGTAACGTGGACAGAAGGCGTTGTTTTATGTAACGTTTGTTATATGAATTTCGTAGAAAATCCTTTAAAAAGAGGATCTAGGAGAGCAAAAACTACAGATGAGGAAGGAGAAGCGGATGAGGAAGAGGAAGAGGAAGAGGTAGAGGTAAGTGAAAAGATTGATTTTACTAAAGCCATCAAGATGATTGCTAAAATCTTTTATGAAAGAGAATATAATAATAAAGAAGGTCCTATATACGAATTTGATGAAATGCGAAGATTGCTTCAAGAAATAGAACCAAGCTTGAAGGGGTTTTTTGACCAATTATATTTAGCAGCTCGTCCATTTGAACGTAATGAACAAACGATGGACCGTATGAAGAGATTAATGGTGTTCATATGTTATCTTCTTGCTTCATTAAACAATACAAAAATTAATTCTTTTAAGTTTGACCTTGCATTCTATTTAGATTCGGTAGGTACAAGTAATGAAGGCCTAAATACAATGGCGAACCTTGGAGCAACCACAACATCAAGAGCAGTAGATCGTAAAAAGAAGCAAGTTGCAGATGAACATGAAAAATATGTAGAGGATGCACTTACAAAATATTCAAAAAGTGCATTCATGTTGAATGTTGATGATTATCATAACATTCATGTCCAGAGACGACCTGATACTACTACTACATCTTGGGCGGCACATATGGCAACTATTGTAACAAATCCATGTCCTAACATGTTAGCAATACCACGTAATGGGGCATCGAATCCAAAAATCTTTGATGATGAGTTGATTATGAAACATCTTGATAACCGATTTATCACAAATCTTGGTGTCTCTTATAATGATCGCATGCAAGACTATATAGGTAACGAATGTTCTGATGATGAGCTCATGATTAGACTAACATTGCATAGTTACAATGATAGGTTAGTGGAAAAAAAGACCGATCGGCACCTTCCAAGAGGCTTTGTTACTTCTAGGAAACCATCTACTAACATTTTTTGTGATTACGTATATTGTGATTACACTAACTATACTGATTTGAATAATTGTAGTGTACTCGCGTGTGGACATGGTTATCACAATCATTGTCTACAAAGGTGTCAATCTAAATGTTTGATATGCTTGGACTATCTTAAAGTCGAAATCAAAAAAAATGTCCGCGCACTAAAAGAAAGTATGACAAAAAGATTAAACGAAAATGAATTTATCGAAAATAACGAATATACAGTTGATGATGATTCGGGTAATGTTGAATCAGCAACTGACGATGCAGCAACGATGGAAATTTTATTAGAAAATGCAAAAAAAACATTTTTTGAGTTGTAAATTTTGTTTATTAAATAAATTTGTTTTTTCATACAAATCTTAAATTGGTCATGTTTACATTTTGTCGTCATTCATTATATTAAGGTTATTTTGATTATATCGAGAGATATGGTCAAGAGAAGAGTTAGGAAGAGAGTTATTTTTCAACCAAGTCGAAAACTAACCCTTTAAATACATTTTCGAGTAGTACAATTTAATTTATTAGACTATTTTGAAGGCTTGTCGCGTGGTTGCTTCCAAATTCTTAAATTCGTTAACGAAACAATTGTTGGTGAAGTAATTGTTGACAAAATGAATCAAACCCATATTTATTTCTACATTATCAAATTCACGATTTTAATTGGTCAATCACAAAATTGCATGGGTTAAATTTTTGTGTTCCCTCCTGTTAATTTTGTGTTCCCAGTACGTTCCCTCCTGTTAAATTGGTTAGCATCAGAGAAACAGAGCGTTATGAAAATAATGAATATACAAACAAACACTATTTTACAACCTCCCTCTTAGCATCAGAATCCAAATGCAATTCAGGGCCACCAACCCTGCTCTGAATTGTGACCTCCTGTGCTTGAAACAAATTGCAGATTCTTGTTTCTTCAATGGATCTGGATATTTACATGGCACTACAATTCATCTGCAGAGTTGCGACTTCTTGGTCACAGTGCCATCCTTGCCCTAGAGGTAGGATCGTTACAAGCAACTTTTTGTCTAGTGTTCCAGCAACCATCTCTGGTGAGGGAAGATTAGTGAAAGTGTCATTGACGATTGATGCAGTCTCAGTAAACTCAGGGCCATGCGTCCCCCCCCTGGATTTCAACATCATTGTATCATCGAGTGTAGCAGGTCAGATCAGCCTTGTGTACACGAGGAAGATGTGTGAATGACTGTAAGTGTTCAAGGCAGCATGCATGCTTCAACATCTGTAAAATTTCCGATAATCAAACGTTGCATACTCAAATTGTTTCTTTTTCAATTGTGCCGCATTGACATCTTCTTGTGATTATAATAATATATTTATATTAATATTATTATAAAAAGCAGAATATTATCAATGAAAATCTTGTAATTACCCAGCAATGATCTGCTCCGCGTTTTGATTTCCAATTAAAATATTTATAATAAAATAAAAATATCAATACAAGTAAAAAATAGTACCTCTATTATTAACACTTCTTCTTTAGGAGACCCAAACCAAACCAAACCGAACAACAACGCTCATGTTTTGTCACCTTGGACTCTGTCAAAAAATAAATTGTTTTTCCAAGAAAAAAAAAAATCAATTCGCGTCTGTCCTACCAAAAAAAAAACCAATAGATAAATAATTGTGCTACGCGTCGATTTAAATCTGAAACTTCTTTCTTTATTTTATAAAATGCCACAAAAGAAAGATTTGAACAAAAGAAGAAAAGCCGACGGTCGCGAGGATGCATTGATCGGGTAAGTGTTTTAAGGATGGTGGTGGTGGTTATCGCCCGCCACTTGTCGTCACTCTAGTTATTATTTAACTAAGGTCTAATTTAAACATTCATTTTTTCATTTAATGAAAAGGGAATCACAAACGACCATATCCAAGTGAGTGTTCTTATTATATAAAGGATTGTTATCAGATTGCAATTCGTCTGTCATTCTAATCATCATATTTATAAGTTTTGTTTTTGCTTATGATTTGTTTTTTTACAAACCATTAAAATATTATATAATTGGAAATTGATTCCTTTATGTTACTTGTTTAAACATTAAAGTGAGCTGAGTTTGCCACAAGTAAGTAATTATACACTCATCATCAGAAAACCAGTCAAGAATTATACATTCTTTCTATTATGAGCATATTTGTCTATATGTACCATGAAAAGATTACAATTATATTTATCTAATTGTATTATTTTTTTTTTTTTTTTTTACAAAGGTTAAAAGACGCAAAAAACTTTTAACGGTATGAAATGTAACTCAAAATAATTTTTTTTTGACCATGGCTGTTCTATAATCTTTCTGCTTAACTAGGTATCAGATGATGATGATAATGATGATAATGATGATAATGAAGAAGATGCAATCAAATACTTCACCAGAAACATCCCAAATTTTGGGAAGGGTATAATTGTAGGTTATTCTTTAGCTTTATAAGTGCAATAAGCTTTTAGACTAAAAACTAATCAAACTGAAATTATAGAGTGATGAGTTGTATCAAGAGTTGATTAGGAAATATCGGGAGTCTGAAGAAAGGTATTTATTTACTCTATATAGAATAATTTAATAATAATAAGCAAAATTCTTATAACCATATTTAAACTACATAATCTAGCAACTTGATAAAATTTGGTGTTGTAGACCTTGATGATTTGAATAAGCCAGCATTTTATGAACAGTTGAAACTTAGCTATCAAAGACAATTCAAAGGGTTAGAAAAGATTCTTGGAGATGAAGTAATAGCAAAAATGTTGGAAAAAATTGGATCTTTCAAAGAAACAGAATCTATAGAAAGTTTTTTTGAATCTTTCAATAAATATGAAAACTTTAGAAGTGTTATATTTGTTGATAGAATGCGACATTTCATTTTGTCTGCAGTAAAAACATTGTAACAAACAATTTTTTTTAAATAGTATCAAATTTTCATAGAATACTCAAATATTTACCATTTTGGTTATCTATCTTGTATTTAGTTGGAATGTTTTCTCCAGAAGTGAAACATATTTTGATGCTGAACACAGCGAGCCACATCTAAATACATTCCTTTACACACCATTATTTGATGCACTGTTTTTCAGCAAAGAATATATTTTATCAGTGAACAGGTAATGTGTTTCTTACCTTCTTTTTATTGAATTGTAAAGACATTAATTTTTTTTTAAGATGATTTCAACCTAAATTTCATTAACAATAGTTCAAGTGAAGCAAACAGTGAAAGAAGGAATTATAACATCAAATCAGAACGAATAAGACGTGCTTTAATTCCAGATATCAAAGTTTGCTATGCAACACATGAAGTAGAAACCATTGTTTTTG